ACATACTTTCCCTTCATTGCCATAAACCATTCTTTCATTTTCTGCAGTGTTTTTTCGTGGCCCTTTACAAACGGTGGCGCCATGATCATTGCCTACACATCGGGACGTTTCTTTAGCGCGGCTACTATCTCTTCAACATCTTGCTCCTTTGCGTCCACATTCAAAAGAGAAATTGCAATTCCAGTGAAGGGGCCCATTTCCCAACGGTTGCTTCTCGCTTCGCTCCAGTTGCTAAACTGCAGTTGCTTCCCTGTTGTTTTGCAGCTACGCATACACATACATACCACACACACACATACACACGCACACCGCGGTCGTCGCAATATGCGTTTTCGCATTGGCATATATGCAGAAACGTATAAAAACGGAAATGCTATGAAATGCTGCTAAAGTCCCTCTAACTTTCATACGCGATTGGTTTAGTCTCAATGATAATAAATCAGAATGTCATATATCACTAGCGAGGCAGCAATAACGCAGCGGGATTCTGTGCTTCAAAATGACACATTCTTAAGAGCGAGTGTTTTACTTCCTGTAAGATAGTTTTCAGACTACCGCTTTTCCCTCGGTCGTCTTGCAGGCGTGATGCATTTTTCACACCTTATTGTGAAATAACAGTTTCTGATTTCTTCAGCTCTGGATCTAAGTCAGATACCAAGGGATGTAAAGAGCAAAAGACTCCTCAAGTTTTTGCTTTATAGTTTTATCGACTAGTCTGTGGTAAGCAGTGCTTCGAACCGTCAAAAAATACCAGGATCGTCCGGACAATCGCCAGAAGCTTTACGTACAATTTAAAATGAATAGCAACGCGCACCAGACTGGCCGGTGTGATCATGCGTTTTGTGCAATTCGTCCACCGAACGATTGCCTGTTAATGATTTTTACCGCTCTGTACTTTAGTCTGTGCAAAAATAGTTGAAACGTTGAAAAAATAGTTAAAAATTTCATGTATCGACACATAAAATCTCACGCATCGGCACTATCGCAAAACTGCACCTTCCTGGCTTTTGTGGCTCCTGAGATAATAATTTCCCCGCCAAATTTTCACGGATCCGCAGCTGATACCCAACACCGCGAGAACGCTGCATTTGAATCTGCAAGGTCCTATGCGGGCAGGGCGGCACTGCCCTAAAATTTCAGCCCCTAAGATTCAGTGGTTCCGAAGTAATAATTCACTCGCTAAAATTTTCATGGGGCCGTTAGCGATATCCAAGAGGGCGAGAACACTGGTGTTGAATTTTCAAGGTTGTCATGGACAAGGGGTCATCACCCTAAAATTTCAGCTCCATAGATCTTGCGGTTTCCGAGACAATAATTTTTCCCGCTAAAACTTGCGCAGGGTCATACGTGGTACCCGCAGGTAGTTGAAAGCCGAATTTAAGTTTACGAGGTAAAACACAGGCGGAGAACATTTCATCGAAATCTCAGCGCCCCAGCTTTCGTGGCTCCCGAGATAATAATTTTTCCAGCCAAAACTTTCGCGGGGTCATACGTAGTACTCGCGAATAAGTGAAGGCCGTAATAAAGTTTGCGGAGTTGCGCGTGGGCGAGGAACATTTTATCAAAATCTCAGTGCCCCAATTTTCGTGG